GGCTGGCCCCAAAACAGAGACCTGGGGAACACTGCTTGTGATACTGCAGAATTTTTTTTTTTCTCTTTGTTGTGTGGTGACATAGTAACTGTTCACTTTTACAGTCGTCCAGCAGTTGCATTAATTCGGAAACTGATAGCAGTGTTAGAATCTATTGAACGTCTACCTCTCCACTTGTATGATACACCAGGATCTACGTATAATCTTCAGGTAAATGTACAGTGATAACTATATTATACTGAATGATACCCAACTGAATGTTGTATGTGAATTTCAGGAAAAGTTACACACGTTAAGTCTGTATGAAGCATATTCTTGTGAAGGTGGACAGAATTAGGTAAATAACAACGAACAACTTGGCATTTATTTCCTCTAACACTTAACCTAAATGTTTGGGTGTTGCTCCACTGTCACTTCTACACTGTGAAGTGAAAGAAATTTTGATTGAAGAGGTAATGTGTGTGTTCTTTGTTTCATCTTCAAGTATTGTTCTCTTTATATGGCAATATGCCCCCTAGTAAGTATTCCTACCACTTGAATGAGTATGTTGTTGAAGACAATTAGAAGACATGTTTATTTGTGATGACTAGGGATTGGCTCTAATGGTTATAAGGGTCCCTTCTAGGGCTGTGTGCTCATTTGGTAATAGAAGACACCTGTAGGATCAGCAGCTTCTTGTAAAGGAAAGCTGCAATTTGGCTAAAAATATTACTTATTTTTGTCCAGCTTGTGTGGAGTCTTTTTTTCTATTTGAAAGCACACTTCAGGATTTTGCAAGATGGCAGTGAAGTGTGAATATTGCTGTCTTGATGCTAAATAAAAGAATAGTTGCAGAAAGTTGCAAAACCACTGCTGCTATTGAATACTTTGAAAAATCATTTTCAGTTTTTACATTATTGTAGTTGCTAGTCTACAAGATTTGGAAATAAAAGCTATGAAGACGCATGAAAAGTGAAAAAATATTAGCTTGAATGTGCTATTGACTTATACATTAACAATGAAAGAACTGTTTGGTTAATTGAAAAAATGGAGTACTAGGGAATTACTTTTTAAAGTGTTAAATTAGAATATAGTTTGCTCCAGTTGTGCAACAAAAATACTTGATGCACCACTAAAACTGTTGTAGTGAAATATATTGCTTTTCTTAAAATTACAAAACCTAAACAAAAAAGCCCATATTAATATTTAGCTACTCTTTCAGATATTAACAAGGCGCTTGAGGTTTCGTTTGGAACGTGCCTCAGGGGAGACATCTTTAATAGATCGAACTGGTAGAATGCTAAAGATGGAGCCGTTGGCGACTGTTGAATCTCTAGAACAGTATCTCCTGAAAATGGTGAGCAGCATGCCATATACAGAGTTCACAAGGAATGGTTGCATTCTGCATCTCTGATACTTGATTTCTTCTCATTCATATGTAGGTAGCAAAGCAATGGTACGACTTTGATAGGGCTTCATTTGTTTTTGTGCGAAAACTACGTGAAGGCCAAACATTCGTGTTCAGGCATCAACATGATTTTGATGAAAATGGAATTATTTACTGGATTGGGACAAATGCAAAGTGAGTTTCTCAAAATCTAAATATTTTGAAGTTGGACACAATGAACTGTGATCCATGGGGCGGGGTGGGGAGAGAGAATTCATAATGAAATTAAATCTTGTATTTTTTTTAGGAGTGGGAAGTATCTTTGCTTTTACTGTTGATCAATAGAATTACATTTCTTTTTGCTGTACTTAAATAATAGAAAAATATGAATCTCTGAAGTTATGTTGAGAATTTTTATGCTTACCTAAGAAATGAAGGGGTGGGGAAGTTTGCGTCTTTGTTTTTGTTTGCTGTGGTTTTGTTTGGTGGGTGTTTGTGTGGGTCTTTTTTCTTTTTTCTTTTTTCTTCTTTTCTTAAACCACTGTACTAAAGTGATGTTTGGAACATCTCTAAAGTTATGTAATTATATAAAATTATATTAATAATTTTGGTTTGTAATAAATTCATCTGTAATATACAATTTACAGTAAATGTCAAATGTTACTGATAGCTGTTTTTTTAATGTAAGTAATAATTGAACAGTGCATTTCTCTTTTTAATATAGAACTGCATATGAGTGGGTAAATCCAGCAGCCTATGGGTTAGTAGTGGTTACATCCTCAGAAGGAAGAAATCTGCCTTATGGCCGTTTAGAAGACATCCTAAGCCGTGACAGTTCAGCCCTCAATTGTCATACTAACGATGATAAGAATGCTTGGTTTGCCATAGATCTTGGCCTTTGGGTTATACCATCAGCTTACACGTTACGTCATGCTCGAGGTTATGGACGATCTGCTCTCAGAAATTGGGTTTTCCAGGTGTCTAAGGATGGACAGAACTGGACGACTTTGTATACTCACGTTGATGACTGTAGTCTCAACGAACCAGGGTATGTCAGTGTGTTTTATCACTTTTTTATAAAACTGAGCTCATGTAAAAACATACTTGGCTGTAGGCTAATTTAGTGTGTACTGTAGGTTTAATAATGTAACTATATAAAGAAATGGTAGGTGATCTAAGTTATCAAGGATGGGCTAGAAAATAAGTGATGCATAAGTTCTCTGTATGGGTCACATAATGGCATTTGTGCTTTTTCATCACTGTAAATTTTGCATTTGATTTTTTTTTTTTTTGAGAAAATAGTAACACTAGCACTCATCCAGAGTTTGTCCCTAATGTTAATGGGTTTTATGTATCTTGTATTCTTAGCAGTTTTCTGATTTTATCCATACATGATCAGCATTATGGTTTTGTTTGCTTTGGTACTAAGGTTTTTTGGGTTTGCTTTTTTTAATTTTTTTTTTTCTTTTTTTGGTCCCCCACCCATGCCCCCTTTCTAATAAATTTAAAGATCTACAGCAACATGGCCTTTAGATCCTCCAAAAGATGAGAAACAAGGTTGGAGACATGTTAGAATAAAACAGATGGGAAAGAATGCCAGTGGGCAAACACACTACCTCTCCCTGTCTGGATTTGAACTTTATGGCACTGTGAATGGAGTATGTGAAGATCAGCTGGGTAAGAAAAAGAACATGTACATCCTGTTCTTTTAAAATGCTAATAAACACCCAATACAAAAATCAGTGTGAAAAAGCAGGTTAACTTTTGCAGTGGAACTTGCTTAGAAACTTAAGCTCAAAATTATTGCCCATTCAATGCTTTTAAGTCTTTTCAATTTACATTTCTTGTAGGAAAAGCAGCTAAAGAAGCTGAAGCAAATCTGCGAAGGCAGCGACGTCTGGTCCGTTCTCAGGTGTTGAAATACATGGTTCCAGGAGCTCGTGTAATCAGAGGAATTGATTGGAAATGGAGAGATCAGGATGGAAGCCCACAGGGTGAAGGCACTGTTACGGGAGAATTGCATAACGGTGAGCATGAATTGCCTGAATTTGTAAATGTCTGTAGCATGATTAGTTCGTGTGGAATGGGTAGAATTAAAGTATTTCCTTTGTAGTGTCTTGAAGATGTTGATAAAACTTTAAATATTTTGGGGAGGAGGAACCGACATACTACAACTGTTGTGGTCCATATGTGAAATTCTGTTTTAATGCATGAAAAAAGTCGTGCTGTAAATGAAACTTTTGTAGAGCTTTGCTTAATTAAAATACCAAATTGTTATTTAGACATCTGTTACAAAGAAGAAAAAGTATATGAATGTGATTGATGCTAACTGATTAATTAAGTTTGGGCCTGCAAAATCTATAATTACCTTCTTCATTTCTTCTAGCTTAGCATTTGCAATATTTTTCTTGACTTTTGTTGTATCCTGTGCCTTTCCTACCTTGCTAGCTTCATTGGGATCAAGTTTGTTTTGTGTGGGTTTGTTTTTTTTTTTTAAATTAAAAGCATGAAAAGTAATTAACTTATGGAACAAAATAAAAACCTGCAACAGCCAGGGAAGTCAGTGCTCAGGAAGCTAAGATACTGAAGAGGCTCCAGAAGAGGTGATCTTGTCAGCTGAACATGCTTTCCACTTTTTTCCCCCTTCTCCCCCTATTTTGGGGTATATGAGACTTGCTTTGTTTCTGAAGTATCTTCAGCCACTCTTAGGCTCATTCGTAGACAGATTTTAAAATTTCATCTAGTTTGTTGAGTTGTCAGCTCTTGAACATGGAGAAATGTCCAAAGTAGAATGCCTTAAAATGTTTTGAAAATTTGAATCTTATTTAAGCCAGTCAATATAGCTTGTAGGGAATACTTCCGTCATCAGTATATTGTTCTTATCAGATGCAACAGTATCCATAGCTACATTCTCACTTTGAAGACTTTAGGTATTATTGGTGAGTAGTATTTTACTACATCAGTGTTTTCATTCCTATGTTCCAGTAGAACTTTCCCATTTAAGCATAGGTGAAATTGAGGTTCATTTATCAAATGGTGATGCCAAACAACGTGAGACGTGTATCAGTAGACTTATTCCTGCCGCAGTTGTCTTTCAAATAGCATTTTGAAAATAGCATCCCATTAACTTTTTGTCATTATTCACAAGTTTAGACAAAGCTTGAGTTGTTTTAGGGCTGTAATGATGGAGCAGTAAGACTCCAAGTATATAATATGTATTAAAAAATTATGCAGTTTTAAAACTATTTGTAATTAATATTTTAGGAAAAGGAACTATACAAAACAAGAACAGTTATTTAGTTATGCTTTTACAAAATATTGTAAAAAATATTGTTCAGATATTCATAAAGGGGAAAAATGATACTATTTACAGTATGGAACTTCTTTATTATTTGATAAGAAAGGCAAATAAACTGTAGAAAGGAAAAAAAAAAATCAGACTTGCTTCACAACTTTACCCTTCAAAGGTTTAGTGACATGAAGCTACTCAGATATAGGTCATGAAGATGGCATAAAATCATACAAGAATAACATCTAAAACTGCTCATGTGGGGATGAGATGTCTATTTATCATATCTGAAGACTTCATCCATTTTTAAATACTCTTCCTCCAGACTGGTATTTCTAAATAGAAAATTCCCTGGGATCTTCTGTTTTGGTCTAAAAGTGATGACTTTTGGATAGTTATAAGGTAAAAGTGCACCTGGCAGTACAAAAAAGAGTATTTTATTTCAGATTAGCTCTCTTCTATTTTATTCAAGAAAAATATGTGGTAACATCTGGACCTGACATCTTGTTTTGAATTTCTGTCTGAGGTTACAAAAGATGACTGAGCTTTAGAGATTTTATTTTTAAAGAAAATGTGTATCAATTAAAGTAGTGACACCAACTTTTGTTACAGTTAACATATGATAAGAAATACTAGAAGGAAATTTTTTAGGTGACTCTGAGATTGTGGTACATACTCAGACAAGCAAAAATAAATTGTTTTGCCCCTATTTCTGTCCTAGTTAAGCTAAATTTTGCATTATTGCAGATTTGTTACATTTAACTGTTAAAAAAATACTGGTACTCTGAATAACCATTTAATAAAGGAATTGAAGAGTAGCGTCTCTTCAGTGTTGTTTTGGTCCCAGTATAAAGTTTCATTCTATGAAATGTATTCTGTTTGCAACCCCGAAATCTTACTTGAAGTAAGATTGTGCTAAGACTTTTCCTATGAATAAGAAATGTTTGAGTCTGTGTAAATGATTGAACTAAAAAGCAGAGTATCATTAAATTATTTTTTTCACTTTATGGGGCAAGAATAAGAAATACCAAACTAATCAGTTTCATAAAATGTCTTCTGTTGGGTAAATATGCTTATCCACAAGCACCCAACAAAGACAGACATTATAGAATGCCCTTGTAAGAATTATAATTTCTTGACAGGTATTATGAAAGCTATGATGATACATTTTAATATACATTTCTGTTATTAGAGAATCTAGTAATAAAATTTTGAGAGATCCTAGTAGGTAGGTCAGGTTCCTTCCTGAAGGGAATTTTACTTTGGCTGGATTCTGGGACCCTGAAGACAGAGGCTGATCATGCTTGCTGCCTCGATGTTAACATTTTAAAATACCAAATCATTTAGATTTAAACACTTCCTTTTTAATTGGCATTAAGGGTTAGTTAGTGATTTTATTCAGACATGCAGCCCTTATGAGAAGCTGATCCCACTTTGTGGAGCTACTGTCTGACACGCTGCTGTCTGCTTTCTGCTGGATCTCACAAACTCCTGTCCCTTTCCAGGCTGGATTGATGTCACCTGGGATGCTGGTGGCTCTAACTCTTACCGTATGGGCGCAGAAGGAAAGTTTGACCTCAAGCTTGCACCAGGGTACGACCCTGATTCAGCGGCATCACCCAAACCTGTTTCATCCACTGTTTCAGGCACAACGCAGTCATGGAGCAGCTTGGTGAAAAACAACTGTCCAGACAAGACGACTGCTGCTGCAGGCTCCTCAAGTAGAAAAGGAAGCAGCAGTTCTGTGTGTAGCGTGGCCAGTAGCAGCGACATCAGCTTGGGTTCGACCAAAATGGAGCGGAGATCAGAAAGTGTAATGGAGCAAAATATAGTTTCAGGCACTGACGTCCATGAACCAATTGTTGTTCTGTCTTCCGCTGATAGTGTGCCTCAGGCTGAAGTAGGGTCATCTTCCAGTGCAAGCACCAGCACCTTAACAGCGGACATGGGAAACGAAAATGCAGAGAGGAAGTTAGGTCCTGATAACTCAATACGTACTCCTGGGGAGTCCAGTGCTATATCCATGGGAATTGTTAGCGTAAGCTCTCCTGATGTGAGTTCGGTCTCTGAACTGACTAATAAAGAAGCAGCTTCTCAACGACCTCTAAGCTCTTCAGCAAGTAACAGACTCTCAGTCAGTTCTTTGTTGGCTGCCGGGGCACCGATGAGCTCCAGTGCAAGTGTTCCTAACTTATCATCTCGAGAGACCTCCAGCCTGGAGTCCTTTGTACGAAGAGTGGCAAACATAGCACGTACCAATGCCACAAACAACATGAATTTAAGCCGAAGTAGCAGTGATAACAATACTAATACTTTGGGAAGAAATGTCATGAGTACTGCAAGTAAGTAAGCTATTTTTAGTTGAAGCTTTGTTGTTTCTTTAGCTTGCATTAGACTTAAAGAAGTTTGGATTCTGTTGGCCTAATAGAGAAATGAACTTAGAGCAGCCTTCACCTTGTGTGTACCTGTAGAACTCATGAAGAGCTCACAGAGTTCACGTTAGCTGGGAAGTGTTACATTGCCCTGTGGGGTCAGATTACACTGCGGTACCCATCAAATAGAAAATAATTTGAATTTGATATCTATTTCATGCTTAGGAAGAGAGAGAGAGTATGGTTTAGATCAGGAGGCTGGAAGACTAGCAATGGTAGCTAATGTGGGATACTCTTGCTTTCTGATCTCTGTAGATTTCGCATACTCACCTTGTATCTGCCTAGTTCTGTTATTTTTCCATTTTCCTCAGCAAAGGCAGTTTGTGTATATTGTGAAGTCTCTGACCTTAGGAACCAAAAACACAGTAGAAAGGAAAAAGTAAACTGCAGGATGATGCAATTTTAGTAGATTCCTGCATTCTGTCAGGCTGAATAGCTGAATGTACTCTAACACTCTATCGGTTTTCTAAAGATGGTATGGTCATTAACGCTTAGATTTGGCAAACTGTGCAGGCATATTAAGCGTAAGGAAGTTTGTAGCTAACAGTTATTTAAATGGCATTATGTACATGCTTTAACATTTGCATGTTCTCAGGTTGTATGTAGGATCAGGGTATTAGCCTGTAAGTTGTAAACCTGCTTGTTGTGAGCGAGCTCACTCTTCTGAATTTTCAGCATGGTCCTATCACAGTTGTTACTCAACCAGCCTTGTAGGTATCTTGTTCAGTGATGGTGATAATATTTTAACTGGAAAGCTGCATTTCATGAGGTAGGCAAGTTAGAAAAGTAAGATTACCCAAGCCAGAAAGAAGCACTCACTTTCTTCTTAAGCTTTCATGCTTGTCTAGGAGTTCTGTGCTTCCTTATTTAAAAATGTGGTGTTTGCTTTTAGCATTTCTAAATTCTTTTAACAGTGAGTGTTTTCTCTTTTGTTGGGGAGATTTTTTTATGTATTCTTACATTCATATTGTGATACCAGGGAGGAAATGTTTGCAGCCTGCATTAAAAATGTAAATAAGATACTCAAGGGAATATTTCCAGTAATTGATCCCCTTTTAGGCAGATAGTCAGTACCTCTGGTTCTGAAGTAATTTTGTGCTGGGGGGGAGAGAGCGAGCACCTTTGAAGAACATAGTAAGGTACTTCAACAGCATGTTTAGCAGATTTCATGAGTGTTTGATATCATACAGTGCTAAAGTTGGAAATAAGAATGTGGCAAATTAAAAATTTGATTTTAATATTATAATATCTTCATACTTCAAAATTATCCCTCATGTAGGAATTATTTTGTTTTATACATTTTTATGTGAGTAGAAACTGTAAATGGGAACTTGTGCCCCAAAAAGACATCAGAGACTAAATTTGAGCAATCTCACCAAAGTTGTATTAGAACATTGTAAAAAGCTGCTTTTTTTTTTTTTTTTTCCCCCCCTTTGGCCTGTCCAGGTTTAAAAACACTCAAAACCCCCCCAAAGAAATCAAGTGTGAAATTATGATTAGTGATATAAGTCTCTCTTGATTTGCTGTAGTGGTTGCATTTAAAAACATCAGTATTTGCCCAGGAGTTAAGTGGTGTCTAGGATAGCCAATTTCAATTTGTTCTTGAATTCAGAGCAAATGAAATGCTGATGCTTAATGGCTTTTTCTGTTTATTACAGCAGCAAAGAGTTTACTGTTATTAATTAGAAGTGAGTAGAAGATATGAGTACTGAACACCTTATTTTCAAGTTCTTAAACAGCAAAAGAAAAACCCTTTGGGTTGGAAAATTTCCATGTTTTCACAGAGATGAGCATAGGCTTATTAACAACCCTGAATTTAAATTTCACTCTCTCCCTCCCCACACATAGAGATAATTTCAAGCACTATACCTGCTTGGGTCACCTTTGCTGATTTTTTGTTTACTTTTTTATATTTTTATTTACAAACTGTTACTTATGTTCCTAAAGAAAAAAAAAAGAGTATCTGACAAACAACAAAACCAGAAAGTGTAACATTTATTTTTCTCAGAAAGCTACCAAATGCACTTAGGGGAATAATCTTTGTTGCATTGTATCCTTCTGCAAGGGCAGTAACCTTTGCAAACCTCGATAATCTAAAGTCTGAATTTCAGGCTGTTAGGATTTTTTTTTTTTTTTAAGAAAGCAGTGCCTCAGTTTACATAAGCTGCAGTAATGAAAATGTTTACTTTAAAATTGCAAAACTTGCATTTGATAAATTTTAGAAAACGTAGATAGAAGAACATAAGGTTTAAATTTAATAGGTGACCCCTCAAATTTCCATGTGCAAACATGTGATTAACCTCCTGTGTTTGAAGATAAGCATGTGAGAAAATGTTTTGAAGATTGGGATGTAAATGTGTAGTTGCACATAGGTATAACTTATACGAAGTTAGGTATACCACCTGAAATTCTTTCTATTGAGTTTACAGTGAATTCAGTCTTCTTTCCGTTGTTAACAAAAATGCATTTGCTGTGTTTTATTTGAATGTGCAGTAAGGTAACTTCTTAGTTGTTGCTTGTTTATTCTGAAAATTATTTATATAAATCATCCAAGATAGTAAGGTATTCAGTCACATGTTTCGCAGTACTGTCAACTCAGGCTGGTTGCCCATCATGAACATATGTGCTAATAGTTATGTGAAAGGTAACGAGTCAGAGCTGCTTTAAGAACTTTAAAAAAAATGCACAAAAATCACAAGTTTCACATTTGTCTTGTTATGTTCTGTTCTCAGTTCATTTATATATAGTTAAACTGTTTTCCCTGTATAATTTTAATTATATTGCTGTTTAGAGGTTAAATTACATTTTAGGCTTAAAGACAGACATGGTATTGGAATAACAGATTTCAGAAATACTTTTCATAGTTGAAAATGAAATGAAGTCATTTCAGATTTACAGTGGTATTTGGGGATTTATTTAATAAAATTATTTGTTTTAAATGTATGCAAGGGAATGTGCTCAGAAGTGAGCCTCTGCATTGCAGGGTGCACTTTTGCACTGGGAAATCCTTCCCCTTTAGTCTGTTATTCTTTGTTGTAAAATAACACATTACATCTGATAAGTTTTCAACCCCAAATATATTTTTCAACACAGGGCTCATGCATGTAAATTGTACTCTTCAAGTCATTAAATCATTTATTTTATCTTACCATATCTTTATCTATAGCTTCTCCTCTTATGGGTGCCCAAAGTTTTCCTAATCTGACTACAACTGGTACCACATCAACAGTGACCATGTCTACATCCAGTGTTACTAGCAGCAGCAATGTAGCTACAGCAACTACAGTTTTATCTGTTGGTCAGTCGCTTAGTAATACTCTAACTACTAGCCTAACATCAACATCTAGTGAGAGCGATACAGGTCAGGAGGCAGAATATTCTTTATATGGTAAGTTTCATTTTTAAATGAACATAAGCAGACTTCCCATTAATGATTTTTCTTTTCCTCCCGTTGTTATGATTTTCTCATGTAGTAGTTTATTTACTGAAAAGTATTTGAAAGTTGAGCTGTTCATATGTTACTAGTTCTGTAAGGCAGTAAGTAAAATAATGTTGACATAGTAGTATTTCCTTATGTTTTCAGGCCTTTATTTTCAGCAGTTTCTATCACACATTATTATTATTTTTTATGGTATAGTTTATTTAGGCACTTAATCTCTTCCTTAATCAAATGAGTTTAGTATCTAATGTAGCTTGCATATGAACCTCTAATTAAAATCAAAATGTTATTTTTCATTGTGTTGTATAGGCATGCTCAGTGTGAGGTACGTTGTATTACTCAGTGATTGAAAAGCATCCACCATTAGGTACATGATACACTTAAAATAGTATATGAGTTCCAGGTATCTCAGTACCATAATAGTAACTGCAGAAAAATTGGAAAGAACACAGAAATGAAAATGCTGCAGAGAATGGAATTATATGATTGAGGGACAAAATCCATAGTTACGTGGGCACTATGCACTATAAACAGACATCAGGACAGAAGCTATTTGCAGGATATGAATATTGTGAAAGAAGATTGTAGTTAACTAGGTTGATAATATCTAGGAATTAAGTTGATGAAATGAAGTCAAGAAAAACCTGGGCTAGATATGGGAAAATACTTCCTAATGTAAAGTTTATTGGATTGTGAGATGTTCTTGAAAGGAAAGATACTTAATTTGTTTAAAACTTGATTGGATTAAGATTGTGTTCTATTTCGTATCTCCTATAGCCTATTGAAATTGCTTGAAAAATATCTGGTAATTTCAGTGGATATTGGAGTTGAGCTGCTTGGAGGCAGTCAATTAAGATATCTGCATGTGCCATCTCCCTTTATTCTTTTAACTTTTAAGTCTCATTTGATATTTTGTTTGGGTGACAGGTCTTAAAATGTATCATAAAGAATTGGGCAAATAGAGTTACCTTAAAGTTTCTGTTGGAGCATTGACAACAATTCAAAGGGTGTTTGGATAGTGTGCATAGTTTATATATGTATAGAAAAATGTAAAGTTCAAAGACTCATCCCAGTCCACTTTGGATTGCTATGAACTTCTTCTCTGGTTTTGGGGGGTTGGGTTTTAAATCTTAGTACTAAGTGGGTGAAATCGAACTTTATATCTGTCTTCAGCTTCTTGTTACAGAAATTAATTAGTGATTGAATCTTTAAAAATATCACTCTTAAATGTTTATTTTAAATGTCCTTTACATTGTAATTTGAGGTCTAAGCCACACATTCTTAGTGGAAATTACATCACTAACCTGTTTTTAAAATTACATATAGAATCAGAAAGTATACATTTGTATACCCTTTTTTTGTGATCTTTTGTAATTTAAAATAAGTGTAATTATAAAATGTTTGACATAAGCAAATAAGAAACTGACCATGCTTGCTGATCACTCTTAATTACACAGATGTTAAGTGCTGCTTTTGTTAGTTATGCTATTGACTAGACCCCTGGTCTTTTTGTCAGGTGTATGCTTTTATTACAGCTTTTAATCTTACTATGCCATAAGCAATGTTCTTGTTCTCTCTTGTTTAAGTGAGATTTGTTTTTTTCACTCTTCCCAATGCTGCTGTTCTTTAATTTTCAAAATTTTGCTTTAAAAATTGTTCTTTTTTTTTGTTCTGTATGTAAAATATACGTATGTATTATAGATTTTCTTGATAGCTGCCGAGCTAGTACTCTGTTGGCAGAGTTAGATGATGATGAGGATCTGCCTGAACCAGATGAAGAAGATGATGAAAATGAAGATGACAACCAAGAAGATCAAGAATATGAGGAAGTTATGGTACAGTATAGTTAGCATAGATGATATCTTAATTGACTAACAGATACATTAAAAATCCACAGGTTTTTTTTGTTTGTGGGGTTTTTCGGGGTTTTTTTGTTTGGGTTTTTTTGGGTTGGCTTTTGTTGGGGTTTTGTGGTTTGGTTTTTTTTTTTCCCCAATATGGGGTCCTAGCTATAATCTTTCCATTAATTAAAGCACATGTGTTTTGATTTAGGAATACTAGTTTGGATTGCCTGCCCATTAAGACTCTCAATTAAATGCCAAAGTTAAAATCATGTTATACTTTTCAGGGGCTGCAAACTGAATGGTACTTTACGAAGACAGTTCGTTGTCCCTTTTCCCCATTCTTGCATATATTTTGAGTATTAAGACAGCTGTTTTCTCATGCATTGAAATGGGTGTGATAAAATTGCAAGACCTCACTAGATAGGACAGCTAACAGGGCAGTCCCCTTTCTGTATGAATTTGATTCTACCACCTTCGACATTTATTCCAGAGAAAAGTGGTTTTGAATACCAGCACACCTTGAGGTCAGAATAAAGAACTTAAAAACAGCCTGGGAACAAGCTGACAGTAGAAATGATCAATCAGTAGTTCACTGGCTGATGAAATGGTGTAACTTTGTGGGTATGCTGCTCAATTTTGTAATGATGGAGTTCTGGGATATGTTTAATTGTAGGCGTGTGTGAAGGAAACTGTAATAATTTAAGTATGCCAGAGGAAATATATCTTTTAAAAAAAAAAAAAAAAAAAAAAAAGACAAGACAAAACCCAGCAGGTTAGTCCACATGGATCTTTGCCTACATTATTGTGAGTTCTGGCTTTTCATTTGGTGGTTCTTTAGTGGTATGGTGAATGCTTGGTCATCCTCTGCCATTGAAGTGATCAGAATGGGTATTGCAAGGACTAAGAGGAAAAATATAAGACTTCACTAATGATAGTTTAAGATTTATTACATAAATGTAAATGTTGTTTTATGGAATTATAGAAACTTCCTCTTGTAATTAATATGCACAAGTCATTTGAACCAAAGTATTTAGCACTTTAACTTACTGTGATTGTGCTTTTAATAGAAACTCAAATGCATTGCTAAATATTTTGTTATTTCACCTTCTGCACAAAGATACAAAGTTCAGAATGGATAAGCCAATACTACTTAAATGGATCTATAATGCAAACAACCACCTTAGTTTGTAGATTGTTGATCACTTTTCAGAAATTATTAAATGGAGTTACTATTGTTGTTCATGGGAAGAAGCAGAAATAGCTCAATTAGCCTTTCCTTAAGATTACACAGCAAGAATCAGATCCGGAAAAGAAAATTTTCCTTTCTTGCATTCCAGTCCCGTTCCCTCTGATATACTATGTAATTCTTCTCAATGAGGAGTTGAACAGATTAAAAACTTGTTGTAGAAAAGTCCTAAGCAATTAATACTTGCTAAGGCTTGTTGAAAATTACATTTTTTCCCACCATCATAGTTCCAGTATTTTGGTATTTGACTTAATCTCTGGATAAAACGTGTATACATTATATATCAATATATGTATACACTTTCAAAAAAAAAACCCAAACCCAACTTCTTGGTTTCAGAAAAGTTAATGTGTTTATTTTGACACCATTGATTTATTTGAATCTTTGATATTCCAAAGTTTGTGGAATACACAAAATATTGTCACCAAGTTTACTGGTCTACAATACTCTGTATTTCCCTATGTTCTGGTGCTTCATGGAAAGTTTCCTTCTTTCCAGAAATTGTAAATACACCTGCTGTAAGGTTAGCCCATTTATGTTGATTTCTGTATGTCTGTGGTTTTGGTAATTCTCTTGATTCCTGCTTGACCAGTTAAATGTGACTAATACTGTTACGTGCCAGCTTTGATATGTTTTGTGTCAATTTTCGTTTACATGACTGCTCTATTCCCTAACTAACTGTTAAATTTTTTGATCAAATGATTCTTTGTAGCAGAATCTAAAAAACAACTACTTTTTTTTTTTTTTAGGAAGAGGAGGAGTATGAAACCAAAGGAGGCCGTAGAAGAACATGGGATGATGATTATGTATTGAAACGGCAGTTTTCTGCTCTGGTTCCTGCTTTTGACCCAAGACCTGGTCGTACTAATGTTCAACAGACAACTGACCTGGAAATCCCTCCACCAGGTATGCTGACAAGGCAGTTGTGATACTTGATTTGGCTTTAGGATGGAGATTCACTGTTAAGGGCCCATTGGGCTATGGACATCCTATCACTGTTAACCAGTACCACATGATTTCATGGCTGTGTGGCTTTTCTGTGGTTTTGAATAAGAGGTTCATCTACCTCTGCAGGTTCAAGCATTATTGAGGGAAAAGTAAATCAAATGCTGTGTAAAATAAACATACTCATTAATTTAACTCGGATTAGTGATAAATCTCTTGCTATGTCTGGTTCCACCTGCAGGGAATCATCTGTATGTTGAGCTACCCAGAATAGCTTTGATTGGAGAGGGCTTGTTGAAACAGTCCAAAGCAGAGGCAAGGGGAAAGCTAATACAGTAATTGAGCAGTTTGTACAACCAGCAGCATAGCACCTGATCTCGCTCCTTAATTCATTCTTGTTTAGCAGTGTGGGTGTAGTCAATATTCATTACAGAAAGCAATATGTAGGCTTAGCTTATTTGGAAACGAGCCATTGATTTTGATGAACTGAAACGAGTTAATACAACAGGAAGATACTGTGTATGAAAAGAAGAATGCATGTGCTGTAATAATATTAAAGGGGATGTTATTAAGACATAAGGATCAATAGGGATTTCAAAAACTCCTTTAAGTTTTACTTGCATAGAGAAGTGCTGCAGTTACAGCCCTTAGATATAGTTCGTAGTTAAAACCCAGTATCATCTCTTTGGCATGTGTGGAGGAAGTCTTCACACTTCCTTATTGAGTCACTTTATTAATGTTTAAGCCAACTTGTCACACATTATCTGTTTTGTGTTAACATCTTCTCGAATGATTTTTCACATGCAGGTACACCTCATTCAGAACTCTTGGAAGAGGTTGAGTGCATGCCTTCGCCACGCTTAGCACTGACCTTGAAAGTTTCAGGTCTTGGAACAACTCGAGAAGTAGAACTGCCCTTAACAAACTTTCGATCTACCATCTTTTACTATGTACAGAAATTGTTACAGCTTTCCTGTAATGGCAATGTGAAATCCGACAAACTTAGACGTATTTGGGAGCCAACATACACGTAAGCTCACAAGTTTGTTATTCTGTGTAGAGAACACTGTGACTGATTAGGAAACGGGTGTGAAACCATGTTAGGTTTTTCTTCCTCCTCTGTAGGAAGCAATGCTAGAATTAGTTCTTCTTGCATTTACATCAGGATGTTCTTACTGGTTTTAAAGGTAGTGCTGTGACTACAAAACAAAATAAGTCCGAACTTCTAATGCTCAACTGTGACTTGTTAATAATATTTCACAAGTCAAGCAATTGACCAAGAGAGAAGAATTTGGTCTGCTTAGGGATCTGCTTGGAAGAATCCCATGGGGATACAGTCCTAGAGAGAAGAGAGGTCCAGGAGAGGTGATTGATTTTTCAAGGATCAGTTCCTCCAGGCTCAAGAACAATCCATCCCAATGCGTGGGAAGTCAGGCAGAGGCAGTAGGAGGCCTGCATGGATGAACAAGAAACTCCCAACAGAACTCAAAACGTAAAAAGGAAGCATGCAAGAGGTGGATGAAGGGTCAAGTGACCCAGGGGGAATATAGAGACATTGTCCCAGTGTGAAGGTATGGGGTTAGGAGAGTCAGAGCCCATCTGGAATTGAATCTGGTGGGGGATGTGAAGGGCAAAAAGTTAGAGCACACTTTAAGAAAGAGAACATACAAGTCCATGGGACCCAATGGGATGCTGCACCCACAAGAGCTGGCCACTCTTGATTATCTTCGAAATGTCACGGTGACTGGGAGACGTTTCTGAGGACTGGAGGAAAGCAAGTGTCACTTCTATCCCCCAGAAGGGCAAGAAAGATCTAGGGAACTACAGACTGGTCACACTCTCCTTCATCCCTGGAAAGGTGATGGAAATAGTCCTGGAAACCATTTTCAAACAAGGAAGGACAAGAAGGTGATTGGGAGTAGGTGGCATGGATTTATGAAGAGGAAATCATTCTTAACCAATCTGATAGCCTTCTGTGATAAGATGACTAGCTCAGTGCATGAGGAGAAAGCAGCATATGTTCTTTTCTTCGACTTTAGCAAGGCTTTCAACACTTTCCCCCTTGTTGACAAACTAATAAAGTATGGACGAGATAGTGTCTGAACACTGCCTGAACTGCCAGGCTCAGATGGTTGTGGACATTTGTATGAAGTCCAGCTGGAGGCCAGTCATTAGTGGTGTACCCCGAGGGTCGATACTGGGTCCAGTACTGTTTAACATGGACATTAACGAACTGTATGATGAATCAGAGCAGACCCTCAGCAAGCTTGCAACAAAACAAAACTGGGAAGAGTCATTGTTGCATGAGATGGTTGTGCTGCCATTGAGACACATCATCAGGCTGGAGAAATGGGGAGATGGGAACTCCATGAAGTTCCACAAAGGGAAATGCAAAGTCTAGCAGCTGGGGAGAAATAACTGCTGGTACAGGCTGGGGGCCAACCGGGTGGGAAGCAGCTTGGCGGAAAAGGCCCTGAGGGTCCTGGTGGACATGAAGTTGAATGCAAGCCAGCTATGCACCCTGGCAGCAAAGACAGTCAGCAGCATCCTGGGCTGCATTAGGAAGGTAGAGAGAGGTGATCTTCCCCCTCTGCGCAGCACTGGTGAGACACGTCTGGAGTGCTATATCCAGTTCAGGGCTCCGCAGTACAAGAGACACATGGACACTGGAGTGAATCTGGCGAAGGGCTGCTAGGATGATTGAAGGGCTTATCTGTCATATGAAGAGAGTCTGAGAGATCTGGGACTGTCTAGCCTGGAGAAAAAAAAGCTTGTGGGATCTTACCAATGTGTATGAGTACCTGACGGGAGAAAGTAAGGAAGACAGAGTGTAGACTCTTCTTTGTTGCGACAAGTGAAAGGGCAAGAAGAAAATGGCTCAAATTGAAATACAGGAAATTCTGTTTAAACATAATGTCTGAGCAGGGGTATTGGACTACGACTTCAGAGGTCCCTTCCAACCTCAACTATTCTCTTTACCCTAATTTGACCTTGCTTTATAGTAATGGACAGAAATTATAAGACTATAGATTGTGTGTATTTTCCATTTGCTACACCAATGTAACTTCTGTCATACTAGAAAACTAACCTATACGAAAGCAAGAACTGCTATAAGGTGGTTGCAGTTTTTTAACTTTGTATTTCAGATTTCAGCAGTGCTTGTGTTGCAACTATATTCTGAGTTGCCTTGTGTCAAAAATTGTGTGCTGTAACAAAACTGTTTCCTAGTTAGAAAGCATGAGAAATAGTTGTAAATGTGCATATCCCCTAAGTTAATACACAGCAAACTACCCTAGAACTTCAAAATTTCAAAGAGCTGGTGCATCTGTAGTGAAGAACCTAAAGTTGGTTTGGGAAATTTGCACAATGAAAGTTTGATTACTCAAACCTCACTTAAGGAAGCAATATATTAAATACTTTGCAAGACAAATATCAACATCATGAAAATTAAATATGAGCTTAAGAACTTTGCTGCACCGGTGTATCCCAGATGTTCTGTGCAGCAAAGAACAGCTGCTATTGCTGGTTTACATCATGTTATCTAAATGTCACTGATGTCTAACAAGTAAATGTATAACTTCAGAATTTAGATGATGTGCTATAAGTATGAAATATTAACTCATTGTTTTGATATCTAGAATCATGTACAGAGAAATGAAGGATTCTGATAAAGAGAAAGAAAGTGGAAAAATGGTAAGTCTTACTTTTATGCCGTTGTGTATGTTTTTATGGCTGTTTAGACAAAAGCAAAACAAATCTTATTGCACTTTTTGAAATGCTACATTAAAAACTAACAGTTTTCAATTACCTAAAGGTTATGAGAGAGTATATTTGTAAATGCATGCTCCTTCAAAAAAGACAGTATGTAATGCATGTGAAATCTTAAAGACTTGACAATCAGGAAAAACCAACATTTGGTGGTTCCTGTTGTAGGGTTGCTGGTCAGTAGAGCATGTGGAGCAGTACCTTGGCACTGATGAATTACCAAAGAATGACTTGATAACCTACCTGCAGAAGAATGCAGACTCAGCTTTCCTGCGCCACTGGAAATTAACCGGCACTAATAAAAGTATTAGGAAAAACAGAAATTGTTCCCAGCTCATAGCTGCATACAAGGTATATGTCTGCATCCAAACTTTTTTTATTATGAATGGCTGTGTGCTTTGTTTTGCAGCTTGAAAGATTCTTGTGGAGGAGGGATATGACATGGATAGGAAAGTTGAATGTTCACATGCCAATATCAAGTTTAGTTTTTGCCACTGTTTTTTTTTAATGTCTTCTGTTCAATGTAGTCATGTTAAAATGCATTTGAATCATTATTTGAGTCATCCACAACTTAACTAAGTGTTGAGGTTAAACACAGTGACCATTCTGATTTTTCAAATCATTAACTTGGAGTGTGCAGTCCTAAAGATAGTAGCACACACAGTTTTCATTCTTAACAATTTTTTTTTTTTTTTTAACAGGATTTTTGTGAACATGGATCAAAATCTGGATTAAGTCAAGGGGCCATTTCTACTCTTCAAAATTCTGATATCCTTAGTTTGGCAAAGGAACAACCTCAGGCCAAAGCTGGCAGTGGGCAGAACTCCTGTGGAGTAGAAGATGTTCTGCAGTTACTTCGCATTTTGTATATAGTTGCCAGTGACCCTTACACAGCACGAACTTCTCAAGAAGGTAAGTTAGTTATCTAGCAGACCTTGTTAAATGTTTTAATGAAAACAAAATAAAGGAAAAATTTTCTCTTGATATTTTCAGAAGGAGATGAGCATCCTCAGTTTAACTTTCCACCAGATGAATTCACAAGCAAAAAAATTACTACAAAGATTCTGCAACAGATTGAGGTATAACATTAATGTATTATACACAATGTATATATGTAATATTGTTTTTAAGACTATTATACTCTTCCTTACTTTGACTGTTTGAAATTATTAGCTTTTTTGCCATTTTGACTTTTGAATTGTTTCACATTATATTTACTTCCTTATATTTTGGATGAGTAAATTCTGTAAGAACAGCCTAGTCTGACTGAAAACATACCAAGAAAAAAGTTGTAATGGAATTGTATCTTTTGGTTATGAAGAATAATTTTTTTCTGCACCAAACATTGATGTTACCATGTAGTGTGTGTATGTCTGCCTGATGATATTGTAACAAAGGCAATTAATTGTGTTAGGGTTCACAAATGTTTTATTGTTTATACATTCCACATGAAGCTTTCAAAAATAGCACTTAGAAAACATATTCTTGGTACCAGGTTAGTAGTTGCGTTACAAGGAAAACTTTAAGATGTAGTTCTTCAGTAGAACTACATTTTCTTTAACAGATTTAAAGAAGATGAAGATTCTTGCCTTGCTTGGCTCTTGTGTGCTTTTTGAGTTTTTTTTATCATTATTATTATTATTACTATTATTATTATTACGGTTAAGTTGCCCTAATTATTAATTTTTAAAAATTGAGTTTTTCATGTTCTTTTGAAGGCTATTCAGGCACAGAATATCTTTGTAGTAATAATTTCTGCAGTCTTTTATAGAAGAGACTATAATAATATTTCAGGGGGGATTGTCTTTACTACCAGTAAGTTTCTTTTGTGTCCTCTGGTATTGAGGAGTTAGTATATAACCACTTTTGGGCAAAACTTGGAAGTAATTCTCTCCGGGTAATTGTATAATCGGATCTCCCCACAGTGCTTTGAGTAACACATATCCCAGAGATTTACTACAGCTTTTAGTGTGTTTGTGCCAAAGCACCTTGTGTCTACTCTTGACTCCTAGAAATTCTGTGAACTTGTCATTCATAGCAT